GAGCCAGCACCCTGAAGAGCTGGGTGAAGAGCGTTTCAAGCTGAGGAACAACAGGAGCAAAGGCTTGGAGGCAGGAGTAAGTTTTACTCCTTGGAGGGGAGAAAAGATGTCTGTGTAGCTAGATCCTAGTGAACTAGGGAAAGGTTAGTTAGAGGAGGGAGTGACTGATGGCCTCTGAGGAGAAGACATCTGAACTCAGGCTTGCTGCAAGATCAGATTTCCAGGTGGGGAGAAGGAGGAAGGGCATCAGCTCCAGAGTTTTCAAGAGCAAAGACCACTTTTCATTCCTTCTATCATAATCTCCAGCTACCAAAGAGGGTGGCCCACAGCAGATGTTCAGTCAATATTTGCTGAATGGTTTTGTGAATTCCAGTGGAAGAAATTTGCAGTAAATTACGATAATTTTTTTTGTGTGTGTGAGGAAGATCAGCCCTGAGCTAACATCGAATTCCAATCCTCCTCTTTTTGCTGAGGAACACTGGCCCTGGGCTAACATCCGTGCCCATCTTCCTCTACTTTATATGGGACACCACCACAGCATGACTTGACAAGCGGTGTGACAGCCTGTGCCCGGGTTCCGAACGTGGGAACCCCGGGCCGCCAAAGCGGAGCGTGCGTACTTAACCCCACTACGCCAGCGGGCTGGCCCCAAAAATTACAATAATTTTGACAGTAGCAGTGAGGATAGAGGAGAATGATGGTTTAAGGCATATTTAGAATGTACTGATCTGTTTGGAAGGAAACAGGGGTGTGCAGATAATTCCTTTGCTAATTGGGTTAGCTGAGTGCAGGTACCTTGTGTTAATGGACTTGTATTCTCAGTGCTTAGAAAAGTGCCTGGTGCTTGATTGACTGAATGCTACTGCCTGCAAGGAAGGCTACAGGAGAAGTAGTGATTTGGGAGTGTTGCGGTAGGAAGAGAGTGACACCGGAGAACACTCTAAGAGAACTGCCATTCAATGTTGGACTTAAGGGAAGAGAGGGGGCAAGAGAAGAGAGAAATGGAGATGGAGATGATGGAGATATAGAGAGAGATCTAGACCGAGTATGCAGATTTATAAGTTATCAGTTTGTGGATGATATCCAAATGTATGGAAGCATATGACCTTTCCCAAGGAGAGTGTTTAGAGTGAGAAGACATCTGAGTTGGAATGCCAGGAAATGACACACTAAAGGAGCAGGTGGAGGAAAGGAGACATTGAAGGAGACAGCACAGGAGCCAGCAGGGAGATGGGAATAGAGTGGGAGTGGGAGCCACATAGGGAGAAAGTCTTGAGGAGGAAGGAGAATCAGCACCATCGGAGTCTTCAGAGAAGACCAGTGGAGTGTGGAATGAACATAAGCCAAGTTTGGCCATTAGGAGGGCACTAGAAGTCTCAGTGAGCGGGTTGGATGGCAAAGATGCAGGCCGATGAAGCAGACGGAGACGGCGCGAGAGGTTGAGAAGTGAGTAACGAGGGAAGAAGTAGAGGCTGTGAGGGTGGACAACTTTCCAGAAGTAGGCGTGTTTTGCTATGAGTGTATTGGTGAAGAGAAGATGGGCAAGTATTTGTTGTTTGCCTGAAAGCTGGGATGGGAGGTTCTTCTTTAATAAATTGGCAAAGACTTAGACTCATGTAGGCTCTTGCAATAGAAAGAGAAAAATTTAAGACAGGAAAGGGAAGGAATGAAGTCCTGGTAAAGGTAGAAAGGGGTGGAACCCACATTGAAGAAAGCTTCACCTTAGAGGAAAGCACAGGGTCCTTTTCTTCCTCCGGGAGAGGACAGGCAGACAGACAGAGGAGGAAAGAGATGGAGATCAAGGAGTTCACTTACGATGTCCTCCATTTGGGGAGATAAGGGAAAGAGGAGACAAGACCACCTGCTGAGACAGAGGGGAGGGAATGGGTGGTGAGCTCAAGGGGAGTGGGGACGGTTTGGAAGCAAGGTCTCACCGAGAGTGGAAATAGAAATTTCCACGATATGCTATGCTGTGTTCTCTTGTAGCTCCAGTGGCCTGACGAAGGCGTGGAGAGAGTATCAGGAATCGGCAGGGTAGAGATGTTGGAGGGAAAAGGAGTGTTGGGAAATGAGAGAACTGGTGAGGGTGACATCGAAATGACTGCCTGTGGGGTGTAGGAGGAATAGAAGATAAACACAAGACAAGTCTGATAGACTCCGACGAGGAGAGAAGTTAGAGGCCTGGCTACGCAGAGGGGTGTAAGAAGCAGCTTGATTCCAGGTCACTGCCCAGTGGAGCGTCGGTCTCGGGGCCTCAGAAATGGAGCTCACACTTGACAGCTTTGACATCTCTGTGCACACCCTTCCATACTGTTTGGGCCATCTTTCCCTCTCGGGGTCCACCGGGCTCCTTGAGCCCAAGTTTCAGCTGCTCTGAAACACATCTGCCTCTCCCTTGGTGGTGCCCCTACCTGGACCCTGCAAAGGGAATTTTACAAATGCCATGTGGTCTATGTTTTAAGTCAGATCATCTCAATCATTTTCTTCCAATTTGGTGAAAATATCTGTCCAGCTCCTTTCACAAAGAGGAACCTAATTCTATATAATTATTGATATTCTCTAATTGTTTCTCATTATTTTATATGTAGTCATTTCATTTTCATAACTCAATGGTACATTCATTGAAAACAAGAACCATGTCTTACATTCCCTTGTCTGCATAGACCATTCCACGTGGCCTATGGACACGTGGCTATATGACACAAGCTGGCACATGGCAGGACACTCGATAATTGTTAGCATGTAGCTGAATTTATTTACTGAGGAGATCCCTACTAGTGTTTAAACTAAAGAAATGTCAAAATTACCATTAATCAGGGAGAGCATTTGCTTAAAGATGAAATGATTCGTTAAGTAATTTAGCAGAATTGATTGACTATCTTCCTTGGGCCAGGCCCCATGCTAAACAGTGGGGATGAAAAGAGACCCTCCCCATATTCGCAGCATCAGGGAACTTAGAGTTGTGCAGAGGGCACAGGTACCTACAGATAATTACAGCACAGTGTGGAAAGACATTGGGTCATTCAAGAAGGGTTGTGAGTATACAGAGTACAGATGGAGTGTCTCAGGCTGGGGTCAGGGAAGGAGTGGCAGAGGTGATGATATTTGAGTTGGGCCAAGGAAGACAAGTAGAATTCCAGCAAACAGGGAATGGAGAGATGAACAGACTGGGCAGCGAGAAGAGACCGTCCAAGGGCACGAAGACTGGAGAGTGCTGTGGGCTTTGGGAACCTCAGGCTGAAGTGCCTTTGGGAGTGTGGCAGGAAATCAGGCCAGAAAGGTAGGTGAGGGCCAGGCCAAATGCCATCCTAAGGAGTGCCAGCCCTGGTTTAAAACTTCAGCCCAGAAATATTTAACCATACAAAGTCTCACTGGAATGCTATGAATACAACAGACAATAGCCCAGCAGATCTGGGTGGGAGTAGGGAGTACAGAGGCCCACCTGCTCAGCTCCTCCGAGATCTGATGCCCTCACCTCTTGGCACCTGATATAATGAGGGAGGGGCCTGCCTCAGAGGAACCCCTGGAATTTTGAGGGATAATTTGAAAAATGCTGCTGTGGCAATTGGGGAAGAAGTGGATGACTGTTAAAAACGGGAGATGTGCTCGGGTAGATCTGTGGTGTAGAAAGGTAAGGAGCAGGAGAGTTTTGAACATATTAGAAGAGACCACAGCAGTCGTAGATGAGAGAGGAGTCCAGCCTAGTGGAGGGCAGTGTGGGGGAGTGGAGAGGACATGGTGGATTCCAGAGCTCGCCACATTAAGGTGGAATCCATATTAATTAGAGACTGCATATAGGAGACCAACCAGAGAGAGAGAGAATCATGGGGAAAACCGAAGAACTTTGGGAACTGATGTCCTAGGGATTGAAGCGGTCGGTGTGGCAGAACCCTGCTTATGACAGAGGGAGAATCAGGCAAGACAGAGCTGAAGCCATGACCTGTGTTTTGAACCTCCAGGACATGAAGGGCATGGGAGGCTGGTGGGAGAATGGGTAGCCAGCGATTGTCCTGATTTATAAGCTAACTTGCTACACCACTGGGTAGCTCCACTGGGGTGCGGAAATTAGACAGCCAAGTGCTAACAGGGCTGGGGTGGAGCTGGTCCACACATGCTTTGCTAGAGGCAGTATAATTTGGAAAAATATTTTCGGAAAGCAATTTGCATACTATCAGGTGGTAAAAACGTTCAAACCCCTTGACCTAGTAATTCTACATGTGAGAATTAGCCCTGAGGAAATAGTTCAAAAGAATGAAAAGCCTATGTTCATCCATCCAAATGTTAATTAATTAAGCAATTAATTAGAAATTACACATTGTACTACATACATTCCAGGAACTCTGCTAGGCGAATGAACATGTTCACTGTGGCAATGTTGACAATAGGAAAACATAGTAAGCAACCTAAATTATCAAAAATGCCTCAATGGTTTAATACAGTGGGATATCCATGTGATAGACAATCATGCTTTAAGGCTATATGACACAAGCAGAATTCAAAACGGCCTGCTTGCTGCTGTGGTTAAGAGCACATTCTCTTGAGTTTATTGCCTGGACTTGAATTCTGACTGTACCAGACCCTGGCACCTGACCTTGGCAAGTTCATCAGTGCCTCTAAGGCTCAGTGTTTTTACTAGTAAGGCGGGTATAACGATACTACCACTTCATGGGGTTGCTGTCAAGATTAATTGAAAAAAGGTGTGCAAGGGCTTAGCACAATTTCTAGCACACAACAAATAATAAAAATGAGTTATTTTAACTATGTAAAAATGTGGGTGAATAGAAAAAGGCTGACAGAGACTGCTGCAAATTTATAGCCCCAGGAAATATTATGGGTGATTTGTCTACTATATTTTGTTTAATGTCGTTTGTTTAGTACCTAAAACCTTTGAGATTGTAAGCAACATGGGAAATCAAGAAAGAAGCAAAGCGCTTTGACCTATCAGTTCATCCAATGGAAGCCCAAGGGTGATGGGCAGGTCCTGTTTTTTCTCTTCTCAGCGGTGTTTGGTCAGCGCTTGGATGAGACTGTGGCTTATGAGCAGAAATTTGGCCCCCATCTGGTGCCCATCCTGGTGGAGAAGTGTGCAGAGTTCATTCTCGAGCATGGCCTGAATGAAGAGGGCATCTTCCGACTGCCTGGGCAGGACAACCTGGTGAAGCAGCTGAGAGATGCTTTTGACGCCGGGGAGCGGCCCTCCTTTGACAGGTACGCTGTGCTCACCTTGCCCTCCCCTCTGCCTTGCTCGGGTGAGAGGACCTCTCTATTCCAGTTGAGCTACAGGACTTGCACAGACACTTCCAAGAGCCCTGGCTTGCCCCAGGAGGAGCCTTTTGTTTCGCTCATAGTCAGAATTTGGGAGCCTGGAGCACAGTGAGGAGCGTATGTTGATCATTTATGTGACAGATGATGTGAACTCAGACTAGAGCCTTGCTGGGCAGTCAAGAAATGTTTAGGATATCGGGGCGAGAGAAGTGCAGAGTAGGGGAAAAAGATGGGACCTAGCTCCAGGCCCACCCACCAGGGCAGATGAGAAAGCTGGCTGTACAAACACACTTGGTGTGGTGGAGGACGCACCATATCTATATCCAAGGGCTCCAGTGGTCTTCCTCAGCTTTCCAGAAATGACCAGAACTAGGACTTCACGTAGGTTGGGAGGTCACAGTACTGTGCAATTCTGAACTTAGTTCTGAGCCCTTTTGGAGGGAGTACATACTGACATTTTGGCAGCCTGGCATTCTCCGAAGTCTCCTGTGTGGAGGTTGCCTGGCCTTGTTTGGGACATACCAGGTGTAGTGACGTTTCTGCCCACCATCCGCCTCCCTCCCCACCTCATCCAGCCACCCAGCCGAGATTTCCTTCTCTGCCATGCCCAGCTAGTATAACCCTGCCCTGACATTGTACACTCTGCTATTGTGCAATATTCGCCTTGGATGCCTGCATGCGCTTGTCTGGCAAGAAAGAGTCATTGTTCTTTCCAAATCAGCAGCGCATAGACCAAGGTTTATTAAGACAGGCCTGAACTCTACCCAGTTTCCAAAGGTTGAAATTCCCCAAGACCTGATTGACGACCAAAGAGTAGAGCTGATCCTGGGAAAATCATGACTAGCTAAGTGTCTTGCTGTGTGGACAGTCTGATTGTGCCCTCTCCTTCACCTCCCACTCCAGTCACCAACGCTGTCCATTCTCCCTCCGAAGTATCTCTGAGACCCACCTGTTTCTTTCCATTCTCACAGCCACTGTCTCAGTTTGCCCCATCGTATTGTCTGTCTTTGCTGCCCTTGAAATATAATAGGTTAATTTACCAGGGGTGCTGTATTTTAACAGGAAAGCGAGGGTGGAGTTGTCACTAGAACTGTAGCAGGTTATGCCATCAAATTTAAGGACCTTTCAGCAGCACCGTAAATCGCACTTCATTATCAGGCACCTGTTCAATATAGTTCACAGCGCACTACCTTTATATTCACTTTTCTTTTTATGTTTTTAATTAGCTTTGAGTTGATCAAAAGATACAGGTGGGTGGTTGCTAAAGCGATGGGAGCAGTCAGCCAGGAGGGATAGAGGTGACTGTGGGGTGCCCAATGCCCATCCTAGGCGTCAGCTTAAGCGCCTGTAAAGTCAGCCCGGGTGGTGGAGTCAGAGTCTGATTCCTGTGAAGTATTTGAGGCTGGAAGGAGGAAAATTACCACACCTTGTCATGACATCTCCATCCCCAGAACAGAGGGGTAGAGTCTACACATCCAGAAATAGAAAGGGCCACCTGGGGCTCCTCAGGGTCCTCCCAGGGCTAACTCTTGGGTCCACATGACCCTTGTGGGTATTCATCTGAACCTCGACAATGGTCATATGCTTGGTTCCACCATAAGATCCCCCAAATAGCCTCACTAGAATAAACAAGAACAAAGGAGCTCTTATTTGGTAGATTCTAGTGAGGGTGTATCTGGTTCTCATTAAACATATGAATAAGAATTTAAAAGTCTTCTTGTGGAGTTTCTACTGGGCTGGATATGGCCTGGCCACACAGCTGATGCACTTCCAATACCTACAATTCTGTGAGAAACAGACATACAGACACGCCGCGTTATAAGATCAGTGCTACAAGGGGAGGGTGGGCAGAGCCGTCTGAGGGGCCGTGGCTAATCTCTGGTGGATCAGGTGTGGAACTCAGAGGCCACCTGGCTCCTGACTTGCTCTTAACACTTGATTAAAAAAAATCATTTAAGGATGTTGGAGGAATAGCAAACTCAGGAAACATCATGCTGGAAATTTAGACTATAACTGTGACATCTGAGTCAGCCCTGTTACAATGGGGGCACAGACATTAAACCAAAAATCTGCAGAAATACCTGTATAATTTCCATTGTGTTGAGTGCTAAAAATGAAAACTAGATGGTACTATGAGAACTTAGAACAGGGGGCTTTTGATATGTTCTCGTGGATTTAGGGAGGTCCCCAAGAAAATGACATTTAAGCTGAGACAATAAAGAAGCATGAGGGTTCACCAGTCCAAGCAGCATTATCCTCCCCTGGTGAAATGGATCCGGAAGCTTGCTGGGGGTTTCAGTGTTCTAAGATGGTTTATACAGCCAACTGTGTTCTTTGATTATAGCTTTGAAGTATCTACACTATATCTGTGGTTATAACATGTTTCTCTTTTCTAATGTTGGATATTTTTGCTGTCTTAGTTTCTCTCAGTTAAACTATCTAGTAATTTGTCTTATTCTGTTTTTTGTGAGGAAGATTAGCCCTGAGCTAACATCCGATGGCAATCCTCCTCTTTTTTACTGAGGAAGATTGGCCCTGAGCTAACATCCGTGCCCATCTTCCTCTACCTTATATGGGACGCCGCCACAGCATGGCTTGATAGGTGGTGCCTCAATGCGCGCCCGGGATCCGAACCTGTGAACCCCAGGCTGCCAAAGCAGAGCGCGCGCACTTAACTGCTATGCCACCAGGCCGGCCCCTAGTTTGTCTTTTTTATTGTTCTTTCTCTTCAAAAGAGTCCATTTTTTGACATCTATATTGTTTTTCTCATTTCAAATTTTTTGGTTTTTACATTCATTCTGTGGGTGTGTTTTGAGTGTTGGGGGCTGTGCTAGGCAATGGACAGTGCATCAGCGAATGGAACCCTGGAGGCAGGAGGCCGGAGAGGAGGCTGGGGCAGAATCCTGGCACAAGACGATGGCCTTCTGAAATAGGGCAGTGAAAGGAGGGGAGGGGCTTCAAGGGATTCACGTGACGTTTAGATAGTAGAATTGAGGGGCTTTGGAAGACTAATTGGATGTGGGGTGAGAGAGAGCCCCCAGTCAAGCAAGAGAGCCTGGATTCTGATTAAGACCACTGAGTGGACTGCGATGCAGGGACATTAGGAGAGGCGGCTTTAGACCTTTAGCAGAAGGCTGCGCCTACAAACTGTCAGCTGATTGTCTGCCATTTTCTTGGGAACTTCTCCTGTATTTTGACAAGACGGCTTTGCCCAGGGGCGGTTTTAGGCAGTGACTCAGCAGGGAAGGCTTCTCCAGAATCCCCAGGTTAAGTGAAGGTTCCCGCCCTCGATTTCCTGAGGGCAGCCGTGGAGCGTGGACCGGGCTCTGTGCCAGCTCGAGTTCTCCTTGGAGGTAGAGAGTTCACAGGCTGCAGATGGGGAGCCTTTTCAGAAGACAGCTTTAACCACTGGTTGTCGAAAAACAAAACATAAAAATTTATACCAAACGCCAAGACAGAGCTTCACCGTCAAGTCCTGGTGTTCTTGTCTCCGCTGCCTCAAATGCCTCCCTGCTCCTCTTTCTGCCCAAATCCACCCCTCCCCACTCTCTCCTCCACGAGGCATTTCTACCCAGCGATTCTATATTCCCCATTGCTGAAACCGAGGAGACACAGATTGTCTGAACCTCTTACCACATCACAGCTTTCAAAACACTACCAGGACTGCCTCTTAAGAATATCAGTTTTTCCTTATATGAAATAAAGAAATACTTCTTCACTAATGAGCTTCCAGTATATGATAGATTCAGACATTTCCTCTTGTAGAGTTGCAGAATAAATACAATAACTCTGTAAACCAGGGGTCAGCAGACTTTTCTTAAAGGGCCACATATGAAATATTTAGGCTTTGCGGGTCAGATGGTCTCGGCCACAACTGCTCAACTCTGGTCTTACAGCGCAAAATCTGCCCAAGATGATACAGAAACGAATGAGCGTGGCTGTGTTCCCGTAGCACTTTATTTATGGAGGCTGAAATTCGAATTTCATATAATTTTCACATGCCATGAAATATTCTTCTTTTGAGTTTTTTCCCCAACCATTTAAAAATATAAAACCCATTCTTAGCTCACAGGCTGTACAAATATAGGTGGTGGGCCAGATTTGACTCCTGGCCAGGGTATGTTGACCCCTGCTGTAAACCAGAGAAGCTGGACTGAAAAGCCTGTGCCTCTTCCGGCTAATCAGGCAATCGTATGAATGTTGTCTCAGGTCCTGCAGCAGAGCCTCCTCTGTCCACCCTCCAGGCTCATGCATATGCTGCCTGTGCCATGCTGGACTCCTCAGCATTCTTCAGATCCTGTCTGAAGAGTCTCCTGTGGCTCCCCAACTCTGCATTGGGTGTCCCTTTTCCACGTTTCCATATGGTCCCAGGTCCTGGACTTCCCCTGTTGTCACACTAACCGCATAGTATTGTAAAGACTTGGTAACGTTTGCCTCTGCGCAGCTCTGTGGCTCAATGAGGCCAGGTGCCCTGTGTGTTCTTCAGGTTCACTGCTGAAATTCCAGTGCCTGACATAGTATCTTGCAACTAGTAGGTTCTCTCAGTGCTTATTGATTGAATGAATGATTACATAAATATATGAATGAATCTCAGAAATATTTGAAACTCTCTGAGGGATGAAAGAGATCAGTGGACCATGGATATAAAGGAGTTACCACATGAAAAATTAAAGACTAAGTAGAGAATGCTAAATTGTGAGGTATTAAGTGACTTGGAGAAAAAAGAAAGCATTGAAGACTAAAATAGTTTCTGCTTTAGAAAAAATAGACCTTGAACTTATCTTTGAGGTAGTCAGGTAGAAGAGAGAAAGAAAAAGTATTGAGGGTTATTAATCCAGAAGAGAGATTAGCAAAAATGTTTTGGTTGGATACATCTTTATTGGACTCTACTCCTCTGTAAAACTCACCTTTGGAACCTGGGATTTTGTTCAGTGGATCACCGAGGGGAGGTGAAGAGAGTTCTGGAGTTTCAAAAAGCATTGCTTATTTTCTTCCAGAGATACAGATGTGCACACGGTGGCCTCCCTGTTAAAGCTCTACCTCCGAGATCTCCCGGAGCCGGTGGTTCCCTGGAGCCAGTATGAGGGGTTCTTGCTATGTGGGCAGCTCATGAATGCAGATGAGACAAAGGTTTGTATCTCATTAGAGTTAGTTGTCCTGCTTCAGAAGAAAGTGATGGTTACTGAACACTATTCTGGTAGGCAGGCAACAGTGGGTCAGGGGGTGCCATATCTTTTGGTGAGATACTTAGTCAAACTGGAACTTGCTCAGCAACAAAAGGCAAAGGAAGCGAAGCAAGGTGATAGTCTTCATGGGGTATAACAATCCAATAAGAATTGGAACGTAATCAAATACCCCCAAGTCACTTTAAAATTAGTAAGAGAAGGAGGATGCTTCTGAGAAGGGTTTCAAGCAATATGGCCTTGCTGAGACCCACTGGGACACAAGGACAGGCTGGCCAACCTCTCGGACAGGTGAGAGGTCAGAATGTTCTGGCTGCATAATGACCATGAGTGTCAGGCGTGGGCATACAAGGAATGCATGTGCCAGGGAGAGGAAGGACAGGGAGCTTTTCTTTGTTCCTTTCACCTGCAGCTGCCTATAGGGTGTGTAGTCACCTCCTGTGACATCATGCTTGTTCGAGTGCGAGTTCACCAGCAGGATTTTTAATCCTCTGTAAATTGTTTCCTGAAAGGCCTCGTAGTCAACACTCAGCACACTGGAGTCATAGTAATTAAACAAACTAACCAATCAACAAAAGAAATCAATAAAACCGAGCTAACAACAACAAAACCTTTATTGTTTTCAACTAAGATTTGCAAAACCCAAGGGACCATGATGCATTTGTGTTACACTGCTAATACAGGGGTCTAACTGCCCACTTTTGGGAGTTTGGGTTTTAGCACTACTATGTTAAAAGCTCTCTCTGGCAAAGTGGCGCACAGAAAAACCTGCAATGAAGACCTGGATTTAACTCTGATTTTGCCATTAGGCAAATCATGCATCTCCTATGAGACTTAGTTTATTTACTTTAGTCCAATAGAACTTTCTACAATGATAGAACTGTTATATAGCTTCACTGTCCAGTATGGTAACCAGCAGCCACACATGGCCATTGGGCACTTGAAATGTGGCTAGTGCAACTGAGGCACAAAATTCCTAATTTAATTTAATTTTATTTAAATTCAAATAGTCGCATGTGGCAAGTAGCTATTATATTGAACAGCACAAACTTAGGCAAATTGCATAATAATATCTGCTCTCCTCAGGATTGTTTTGAGGACCAAGGGATATGATACAGGTGAGTGACATTTTTAAATTATTAGTTTAAGGGGAGTTTTATTCTCTACTTCACAATTTGTTATATAGTATGCTTTCAGAAAAGTATGTATATATATATATTTTAAAAATCAATGGAGGGCCGGCCCCGTGGCTTAGCGGTTAAGTGCGCGCGCTCTGTTGCTGGTGGCCCGGGTTCGATCCTGGGCGCGCACCGAAGCACCGCTTATCCCGCCATGCTGAGGCTGCGTCCCACATACAGCAACTAGAAGGATGTGCAGCTATGACATACAACTATCTACTGGGGCTTTGGGGCGGGGGTGGGGGGGGTGGTGGGAAATCAGTGGATAGTGCTCTAGCCCTGGAAGAAAGCACAGCTGTGAGAACTTCCATCCTGACTGAGAGGGAGGAGCCTCACAATTTAAGTAGACCCTGGCCCGTGAAAAAACGCAATTGTCTATTTCAACATTAGGGAAGGAAGAGAATGACTGCTGCAGCTCACATGCCATAGCGATTGTAGCAATTTTCCAACACAAAAATTAGGTTGCATGATCTGATTTAGAGTATTTTGTGCATGATTTATGAATTTTTTTGTGGGGAGAAGAGGCTATGGAAAGCCTTAATTTATACAGGTATATCAGCTCACCTTTGTGAAGGTAATAATATTTTATGGAATAAGGTTTAAAAGTGGGCTAAAAAGATACGTTTCCGGTGGCATCTCACCCCGCAGCTCCAGGGCGAGCGCAGGAGGTACATAGATGCAGTTCTGATAGTAAGGCTCCCACCCCTGACTTCCTCCCTCTAGACCTGCTTCTCCTGACTTTTCTCAGTCTCAGCAGATCTGAGAGTTTCTAATCTACAGTCACGCACATCTGGACAGGGCAGAGGGACAGCAGCCTCCCTCACTGGTGAAAATGTGACAGTGGCGGTAGCTGGGAGGGGTGAGCCTATAGCAACCTTTGCAAAGAATTCACTTGACTAAACTGAAGAGGAGGGAATCTCAGTGTGAAGCGGGTCCTCTGGACACACAGGGTCTGTGCCAAGTCACTACATGCAGGCTGACAGGCCATAGGGCGCGTTTTCTCCAGGAGGAGCTGCTCGGGTTTGAGGAGAGCCTGCCTGCCTCACGTGAACTGGTGCACTTTCCAATCATGATGTTACAGACGGTGACTACAGACCCTACAGCGGCTGCGGGTGAAAGGAACACAGAAAAGCTCCCTGTTGTTAAGTGCGTGGGCTCTGCTACTGGCAGCCCAGGTTCAGATCCCGGGCACTCAGTGACACACTGCTTGTCCGGCCATGCTGAGGCCACGTCCCACATACAGCAACTAGAAGGATGTGCAACTATGACTATCTACTGGGGCTTTGGGGAGAAAGGGAAAAAAAAGAGGAGGATTGGCAATAGATGTTAGCTCAGAGCCGGTCTTCCTCCGCAAAAAGAGGAGGATTGGCATGGATGTTAGCTCAGGGCTGATCTTCCTCACACGCAAAAAAAAGCTCCCTGTCCTTCCTTTCCCTGGCACATGCGTTCCTTGGATAACTGTCTCTGACCCTCATGGTCATCACGGAGCTAGAACATTCTGACCTCTCACCTACCCTCCAGATTGGTCAGCCTGTCCTTGTGCCCCAGTAGGTCTCGGAAAGGCAACATTGCTTGAAACCCTCCTCAGAAGCATCATCCTTCTCTCAATACTCTTCAAGTGACCTGACATCATTTGGTTATGATCCACTTCTTTATTGGAGTGTTACATCTCAAGCATTCATTAAGCAAACAATTATTGTGAATACGAGTTGTTAATAGTCCTTGCTTAGAGTAGGGAGGGGAGGGGGCATAATTGTAGACACAAAAAAAAAATGCACTGGACAAAAAACTATGAGCCTGTCTCTTATTTTTTGCAAGTTTCTGTGAATTTATAATTATTTCAAAATAAAAAGTTTTCTAAAAATCCACAAAACGATGGGAACAGGAGTGACTGCCACAGTGTGGCTTCTGCACAGTTACACCGCTTATGTTCCAGGGTCTCATTGCTGGCCAGTGAGCTGGCTCATTTACTGGTGTTAAAAATCTCTCCCCAGGCTCAGCAGGAGTTGATGAAGCAGCTCTCCATCCTTCCTCGAGACAATTATAGCCTCCTGAGCTACATGTGCAGGTGAGAGTCCCCGGTGTCACTCTGCAGTTTTCAGGCACATCAGAAAGAAGCCCCTGGTTGGGGAGGAGAGAGTGTCTCTGTGAACTCAGAGATGCTGATTCAGACCTTTGAAAGGTCAACTCCATTCACATAGCACTGAAGTGGTTTCCTGTGTTCACAAGATAATGGAAAGGATCCCCTGAAAATCTGATCGGCACGAAAAATGAACGTTTCCTCCTTCAAGCCTGCTGCAATGCGGCCTAGAGTCCCGGGACATGCAACGGAACCCAGAATCCTTATAATGTTTCTAGAATTATCTCCCATCTTCCTGATTCTGGGCCATAGCTTAGCACCCTAGAGACATTCATTCCAGGCCACCCTTTTTATCTCCCTTTCTGAGGACCTGCTGTGTGCCATCTCTGTGGAAACATGTAGCATGTGGATTGACCCAGATCTAGCTGAGTTGGGAGCCTGGATCTCCATGTCAGACAGAGCTGAAATTTATCTTTATTTTTTAAAAAATAATTTGTTGGGCCAGTCCTGTTGCCTAGTGGTTAAGTTTGGCACTCTCTGCTTTGATGGCCTGGGTTCGGTTCCCAGACACGGACCTACACCACTTGTCAGCGGCCATGGCGACCCACATAGAAAGTAGAGGAAGACTGGCACAGATGTTGGCTCAGGGCGAATCTTACTCAGCAAAAAAAAAAAAAAAATTTTTGTGGTTTCCAGATTCTAAAAACGATACATGCGGGGCCAGCCTGGTGGCATAGTGGTTAAGTTCATGTGCTCTGCTTCGGCAGCCCGGGGTTCATAGGTTCGGATCCTGGGCACGGACCTATGCACTGCTCATTAAGCCATGCTGTGGTGGTATCCCATATACAAAATAGAGAGAGATGGGCACAGATATTAGCTCAGGGCCAATCTTCCTCAGCAAAAAGAGGAGGATTGGCAATGGATGTTAGCTCAGGGCTAATCTTCCTCACCAAAAAAAAAAAAATAGATACATGCTTAATTTGGAAACCAGGAAAATACAACGTACTGTAAATAAGAAATAAAAATTACCCACAATTCCCCCACCCAGCAAAATCACTATTAACACTTGCATGTGTTTCCTTCTGGATTTTTTTCTCTATGATAGATCTTTACACACATCAATATAAATATAGGGGAACAATTTTTTATATGAAATTTGAATTTTATATATATATATATATTTATGTCTGCTTCTTTTGGCTTAATGTTATACTGTGAGCATTTCCCTATGTCACACAATAGGATTATAAATGACTCCATAATATTCCAGAATGTTTCCTCATTTGAACACACCAACATTTATTTCATCATTTCTCTGTATTTGGAATTTTATGTTGCTTCAGTCTAGCCATTTTAAAAAGGTTTTTAGAGAGAGTATTTAGAAATTCCCTTGCTGATCTGTTCAGGTTTTTTTGAGTGAATCTGAGAGCTTCATGCCTCAAATGGGTGGAATTATAGTAAAAATTCATTGTTAGTTATTGAGCACCGGCTGAGAATTCGAGATGCTTGATCCTGTAATCGGAGGATGAGAGCAAGGAGGCATCAGAGATTCCAGTCTCTGAGATCGTCTCATGATAAAATTTTCTTCTCTGGAGATTTGGGTCAGATGGGTGCTGAGAGCCTGGGAGATAAGCCTATCAAGTCAGGACAAGGCGGCAGTCAGGTAGCCATTTTAGTCCTTCTAAGCTCCTCTTAGCTCCCTGAACTGGATCCTGCCTCCCGCTAGTGTGACTCCCCCACCCCAGCCCAGTGCCACCACCAGCAGCCGAGCAGGCCCCTTCTGGTTTCTCTTCTTCCTTAGTCTTGAATCTTTCAGGGAAAAGCTTAACTCTTGTGGGCAAAGCAGGCTGATTCCATTCTTGAGAGCAGGAGGAAAGAGTTGGGATCCATCTCTGAGATCTCACTGGTACCTGGATGTGCTTCCTTCTGGCAACTTCCTATTTCCTACTCTGGGATTTCCTGGCTGCCCGCAGGTTCCTACATGAAATCCAGCTGAACTGTAGTGTTAACAAGATGAGCGTGGACAATCTGGCTACTGTGATTGGTGTGAATCTCATCAGGTCGAAGGTGGAAGACCCTGCTGTGATCATGCGAGGTATGGCTGGTCCTATGGTGAAGGCAGGTGCGGAGGAAGTAACAATTACAACACTACCCCTTATGTTTGTGCACTGCTCTGCAAGTTGCCAAGCATTTTCAGCTGATTATCTTGTCTGAGTTGTAAAGTAGCCCTGTGAAGTAGGCAGGGCAAGAATTATGTCCATTTTCCAGATCACAGCAGAGCAGAGAGGTTAAGGATTTACCCAATGGTCACACAGTACAATAGGCTAGCATGAAAACAGTTAGCTAGTGTTTCTTAGTCTTGTATTACTTTTAAATATCCTTAGCAGGAGAAAACAAATAGTTTTCATTTTATAAGCTGCCTCTCAAAAAGGCTACTTGAAAGCTGTGTTGAAAAGACTTCTGAGGCTGTGTCTTAGTTCGGTGAGCAGAAGTCCTGGCATAAAGTACTGATGTCTGCCATGGATTTGGGGAAACAGTATGCCTGGCATGTTTTCACCATGTGCCGTAAGAAATCAGATATATTGAGGACCACATCGGGAGAGAAAGATGTCTTCATTTTCTCTCCTGTTGTATTGCCTATTTTCCTGATCAAAGACTGATCCAGGGCCGGCCCCGTGGCTTAGTGGTTAAGTGCGTGTGCTCCGCTGCTGGCGGCCCGGGTTCGGATCCCGGGTGCGCACTGACGCACTGCTTCTCCGGCCATGCTGAGGCCGCGTCCCACATACAGCAACTAGAAGGATGTGCAGCTATGACATACAACTATCTACTGGGGCTTTGGGGGGAAAATAAATAAATAAGTAAAATCTTAAAAAAAAAAAACAAAACCTTAGATTTAAAAAAAAAAAAAAAGACTGAGCCAGTGAGGTGTAGACTGAAAATAACTCTCTTTCACCCCACTCCTATATCCTTCTTCTATCCCATCCCTTTCACCACAATCCCCTACCCCAAGCAATTAAGAAGGGTCCTGTGAGGAGCAAAATTTGGTCCTTTTGGGCCCTGTGGTTTTAGAGCCAAGTTTAGAGACATCGCACGGGTGGAGATCCTTGAGGACTACCTGCCTCCTGCCCCGTGGTCCAGCATAACAGATCTCTTTCTTCTTTCTTCCAGGGGCTCCTCAAATCCAAAGAGTAATGACCATGATGATCAGAGACCATGAAGTCCTCTTCCCCAAGTCCAAAGATGCACCCCTGTCACCACCTGCCCAAAAAAATGACCCCAGAAAACCTCCAGTGGCTCGAAGCTCTGTGGGCTGGGATGCCACTGAAGACCCCTCAATTTCTAGGACAGACAGCTTCAGTAACACGGTAAGGTGCAGAGAGACTTCCTCCTTCCCTCCAACTCTTGCTTCAGTCTAGGTCATTCCATGTAGGAGCTGCTCTTGGGTGGCAATTGGGGAGTTTTGGAGGATGCTGTGGCTGTGGGCACAGCTGATACAGACCCATTTGAATGCATCTTGAAAGCCTGCCCTGTTTCAAAATCTAGTCTCTGTTGGCATCCTGAGGGTGGGGTTAGTGACGTGTGTGCCAGTCGCCCAATGACTGAGCAATGGGAGTCCTCACTGAAGCCCACTCTAAAAGGGAAACCTTTTCGAACACAGTTCAATGGGGAAATTATATACCACGTTGTAAATGTTTTAGTGAGCGTTGTTGAAAATTCTGGGTGAAAGTCCAAAGGGAACGGGTTTCCTGCTAACCCATGAAACGTGATTCCTTTCTCAGAGTATGTGATGTGTTCGTGTAATATTTCTCATTCCCTGATAAGCAGTCTGAGCAATGTCAACCCCCTCATTTGTCCTGAAGGATTGGGGTTCACGTTCTCAAAGTCAAAAAACTCTGCAGAATCTGAAATTTAGACTCTTTGAGGACAATAATTTACAAAGCTCAAATATTTTTACATATTTATAGAGACAAATATTTTTTTAAGAGAACATGTGAACTTTATATAGCAGCTTGATTCTTTATGTGTGACCAAGAAATAGATTTAAAATTTCTGGCTGACCAAATAACGTAAGTTGCCTATAGCACTGTTAATCCTGAGGATGATCAAGAAAGTACTGAGAAAAAGATAGATACTGGTAGTGATTGTGATTCTTCTTAGGCGATGTCTGTCTGGACACAATGCATCTTACTAACACTCTAAAATTAAATTAATATTTAGAAATGCTTGTACTTCATATAATGAAATAACACTCGCAGTCCTTGACAGGAGCCATTGCTATGCTCAGTTGAGAGGTTTCTGCTATTTATTGTAACAGTATGGGCAGCTATGACAGGCCCTGTGTTGTGAAATTTAAATGGATCACCTTTGGAGTCCTCACTCTAACTCTGTAGGGCAGAATTCGTCATCCACATTTTATGGCTGAGGAGCTGAGTCTCAGAGGGGTTGACCAGCTGGCCCAAGGTGGCAGCCCTAGAAGGAATGGGATTTAGATCTGGTTCTCACCTCAAGGTCCAGGAACTTCTGACAACCAACCCGGATGGGGTTGCAGAAGCAGGGGATTAGCTAGAAGGGTTAGAAGGAGACCTTAAGCCCTGATTTTCTAAGTTTATGTTTAGGGCTCATTCTTTTTCTTTTTAATTTGATTTAAAAATATATAATATATACACATGGTTCAAAAAGATAGAAAAAGATATACATGAGAAGTCCTGCTCCCTCCGCTATTTCCCCGCCCCCCATCCTTCCCTGCCTTTATTAGTTTCTTATTTATCCTTCCAGTGTTCCGTTATGCAAATATAAGCAGATATGATTGTACATTGTTATTCACCTCCCTTTTTACACAAAATGTAACATAATCTCTGATTCTCTCTCTCTCTCTCTCTACACACACACACACACACACACACACACACACACAATACCCTGTATCTTGCATTTTTCTACTTAACAGTATGTCCTGGAGACTTTTTCACATTGGTACATAGACAGCTGTCTCCTATGGCGTCATATTTTTGGCAGATGTATAGTGTTCCATTCTGTGCATGTAATCTACTTAATCAGCCCCTAATCAGCCCCTATAGATGAGCAGGTTGTTTTCAGTCCTTTGTGTTATAAACAAGACTGCAATGAATAACCTTGACCATGCTTCATTTTGTATTCAGGCAGATGTATTTCGGGGATAAATTCCCAGCAGTGGGATTCCTGAGTCACAGGGTAAATAGATTTGTAATGTGTAATTTTGATTAAAATAGTTAAACAGAGATTGTGCCATTTTGTACTTCCACCAGCAATGCATGAAAGAACCTGTTTCCCTACAGTTTTACCAGTGGAGTGTGTTGTCAAATTTGGGGGAGGTTGCTCATCTGATAGGTGAGAACTGATATTTCAGTAAGCTTTTTGTGTGTGTGTGTGAGGAAGATTAGCCCTGAGCTAACATCCTTTGCCAATCCTCCTCTTTTTACTGAGGAAGGTTGGCCCTGGGCTAACATCTGTGCCTGTCTTCCTCTACTTTATATGGGATGCCTCCACAGCATGGCTTGACAAGCTGTGTGTCTGTCTGCGCCCGGGATCCGAACCTACACACCCTGGGCTGCCAAAGCAGAGCGTGCACACTTAACCACTTAGCCACTGGGCCAGCCCATATTTCAGTAATTTTAATATTAATTTGAGTTTCTCATTTTATGAGAGAGGCTGCACATCTTTTCTTAGATGTAAGAGCCAGTTGCATTGTTCCTCTCTGAACTGTCTTATCTTGTCCTTTTCCCATATTTATATTGGTTGTTGGTCTTTTTCTTCTCAATTTTTATGAACTTTATGTATTAGGGAGAGTAGCCTGTTGTTTGTGATATTGCAAATTTTTCTGCCAGTTTGTCATTTCTTTTTTGATTTAGCATGTGGTGATTTCTTTGTTTTATTTTTGTTCTTTTTTCATTTTGGTGGGTCATGGAAACCTATGTAGGTTGGATTTATCAAACTTTCATTTTATAACTTCTGGATTTTGAATCATAGTTAGAAAGGCCTCTCCATTCTAAGATTATATAAGAATCATCATTTAGGACTCTTTTACCGGAAACAAACAATTGATTTTAGTCATGACTTCCCTCTAGAGCATGAGTTCCTTCAAGTGCAATATCCTTTTGAAAAAATTCCACACAGATAATCAACTAATGTGACAAATTAAGAGATAGTCTTCTAATTAAGAGTTTCATAGAGGTGCAGCTGGGATATACTCTCTTTCAAGTCTCTCTAATCCTTACCTTGGGAGCATGACCTATGTGAGAAAGACCCATGTAACATTCATGGCCATTTTTTTCTAGACCAGCGACTCAGACACAACCAGCCCCACTGGACAACGGCCGAGTGATGAGTGTCTAGAAGACAGCAGCAGAGACCCCAGGGAAAAGCCAGGAGATTGGAAGTTGCAGTCTCGAAAAAGGACTCAGACACTCCCTAACCGGAAATGCTTCTTGACATCAGCTTTTCAAGGTGCCAATAGCAGCAAAGTGGAGATCTTTAAAAATGAGTTCTGGTCATCTTCAGAGGGGAAGGCAGGGGAAGGGCACAGGAGAACGATGTCTCAAGGTGTGCCGCAATTTTCTGACTCCCAGCGGACTTCCACCTACGATAACGTCCCTGCCCTGCCCGGGTCCCCCAGGGACGAAGCAGATGTGCTCTCTTCCCATGCCTGTGACCCCAGGAGAGACACTCTTGCCAGCCCAACCTCTGCAACCGGGCCTGGAAAAAAGAACTCTGGAGAAGAGGAACTTGAATCTTTGCAGAGCGTGGTCCGTGAGCTGCAAAAAGAAATAGAAACACAGAAGCAAATGTATGAGGAACAGATTAAGAAGTAAGTCACATGCAGAGGGGCCCTGGGCAGCCGCTTGGCTTCCATCTTTAGAAGCAAGACGGATTGTTATTGTCTGCCAAAGAAGTGACATTGTAAACCTTCGATTTAGAGAATACAGTGATCAAGAGTAGTTGGGCCTAATAAGAAAAAGGGGAAAGAGAGTGGTGAGATGACTAAATTAGCGAAAACTCTAAGCTTTAGATTAAATTCATGAAAAGTTAAGTATGTAGCTTAAGTAGCTTAATTAACTATTTCCAAATAGTGGTTCTTGAAGGATCAATGTGTTTTAATGAATTAAGAAGAACTAAAAATTTTTTCATATTAATGTGATTCATCCATTCTGAAAATAGTTATTGAGCACCTACTGCGTGCCAGGCACCATCCGAGCTGGGGGGAATAGCACTGAACAAAACAGACCAAAGTCCCCGCGCTTATAGAACTTTCCTTCTAGCAGGAACAGAAAGACAATACAGATAAGTAATTTGTATGCTATTATGCTCTGTCAGATGGTGGAAAACGCTATGGAGAGAAATAAAGTGGAGCAGGAGGATAGAGAATTCAAGAAGGGGGTTCTAGTGTGAAATAGGGTGGTCACGAAGGCCTCATTGAGAAGGTGTCACTTAAGTAAAGGCCTGAAGGAGATGAGGAAACAAGTCAGGTCCACGTAGTGGGGAAGAGCAAGCCTGGTGGAGAGAACCAAAGGTGCAGAGGCCGTGGGAAGGGAGTAGGTCTGGTGTGTTCTGCGCAGGAAGAGCGGTGGTAGGCTGGGGCATGGGGAGTAACTGATAGGAGAGAAGGCGGAGAAGTGCAGGAGGCAGAGCACAGGAGGCCTTGCCAACCACCTTAAAGTCTGAGTGAGGCAGAGCTTCCGGAAGGCTCTAGCTGACTGAAGCTTCCCTGGATCAGTGATTCCCACTGGGCTCCGGCTGCGGAGGACAGACGGAAGCAGGAGGCCAGTGAGGCGGCTATTGCCACAGGTTCATGCAAATCCCTAAGTCACTTGGACATAATTTGCTCTCGTTGGTGGAAAAACTATTTTCTTGAAATCTTTTTCACACCACTGATTTTTCATGAGAGGAAGCGTCAATCCAGCTTAGCCCATATTAACACTAATCATGAGGTAGTGAAATGTGAACTAGTGCGTTTTTCAAATTACAGATACTGTTCAATCTTAAGACTGAAGGTACATGCAAGGAAGGTACATGAAGACTCAGGTACACGAAAGGAAGACTTTTGTGAGACATCATCCTTTGTTCTATAAAGAAGGCAGCCCATCCGGAAGCAAAGTATCACTCCTTTGTCTAAGAACCCGAAATCAATCATCTGTAGAAGTACAAGACTTGGGTGACATCTTGACAGTAATCAAAACAGCCCCAGAGGAGGCTCCCCCTGCACTCTAACATGAGTGTTGCTGACAAAGTAGGGAAAGAACTGGCTGCCACAGAGGCAGCCTCTCCTCCTGAAGGGAACCAAGTCCTCTGAATCCACCATCAGGGGGGCCTCTCATCCTCAGCAGGGGGAGGAGAATTAACAGTCTGCAGCGTCTAAGCTTCATGCTTCAGACACACCTTCTCATGTAATCCTCACAGCAATCCTGTGAAATAGGTAATATCCCCATTTTACAGAAGAGATGGGGGCCCAGCAAGTATAAACAGATTTCTGAAGGTTGTACAACTAGTCCTTGGTGGGGCTGGGATTTGAACCTCTGTCAGCCAGCCTCCTGAGCCCACTCAGATCCTGCCTCTCCACTGGAATCAGTGGACGTTAAGATCTAGCACAGTATCTCATTTGAGATTCCCTCCAGAGCAAGGGGGAGATGGAGAATTTGGAGAAGAACACTAGATTTGTAATGGGAGTGCCAAAAGAAATGAAACTAATTTAGCTTTAAGAAGAGATAGGCGGGAGCCGGCCCAGTAAAGTATGTGTGCTCCGCTGCGGCGGCCCCGGGTTCGCCGGTTCGAATCACAGGCGCTCACCGATGCACCACTTGTTAAGCCATGCTGTGGCGGCGTCCCATGTAAAGTGGAGGAAGGTGGGCATGGATGTTAGCCCAGGGCCAGTCTTCCTCAGCAAAAAAGAGGAGGATTGGCATTGGATGTTAGCTCAGGGCTGGTCCTCACACACACACACAAAAAGAAGAGGTAAGCTATGGTAGGCAAAGCTCTGAAGTGGTGCTGTTACATGCAGAATGGCTTCTCCAAGGCCCTTGGAGACAGAAGCCAGGCATGGGCTCAAATGGAGCTCAAGTCTCCATATGAAAATGGGCAGGCTGTTGGGGGAGCAGGGAGGCAGCACCTCACAGGATGAAATTCTGAAGCAAATTTCCAATCACATAATCTCCCACAGGCCTGAAATTCCCGCTTTTGGCTTAAAAATGGCATATGAAGTAACTCCTAAGAGTTACTTCAGCACAGCCTGGCAGAGGGGCACCTGCAACTAGACTAAGATTTTGGCCAGTAACCATGAAAATCCTGGGAATTCAGGAATCCAACAAATCCTTTACCTGGAGCACGATCCAGAAATGAGGGTGGGACTGCCAGGAACACTGCCCTTCAATGAGCAGTTCCCTGTACTTTTCCAAATCTTGATCCCCAGGAGGCCTTAATAAGAGAAGGCACTGGTCTGTCCTCTCCATTAAAGCAGGATGAGAAGGCACTCTCGTGTACAAAGGTGTTGGGAATCTGGATGGGGCTTCAGCAGTCAATCAACATTTCTATTGAGCAGGACAGATGCAAGGTGCTGTGGGGGTGAACATATACATATATTACAGGTGGTCTCCTCTTTCAAAGACTTTACTGGGGCCAGCCCGGTGGCATAGTGGTTAAGTTTGCGCACTCTGCTTCAGCAGCCCGGGGTTCATAGGTTTGGGTCCCAGGCGTAGACCTACACACCACACATCAAACCACGCTGTGGTGGCATCCCACATACAAAATAGAGGAAGATTGGCACAGATGGTAGCTCAGGGCCAATCTTCCTCACCAAAAAAAAAAAAAAGACTTTATTATCTGATGGAAATTAAAAAGCATAAAACGACATGAACACCAACACGAGAAATGTCACAAGACGGTGCTAAATGACAAAAGGGGCTCAGACATGCTCTGGGAAAACAAGTTTCCTGGGAAGTCCTCACATTGGGGGGTGGGACATAAATAAGAGATACAGGTTCGATGTGAATCTCGTGATGTGGAAAGAAAAATGGACAGAGGAGGTTGTGGGCAAGGGTGAAGGGAGAGTTTAGAGGTCATACTCTATTCTCTCATTCTGTTCTTTCCTTCCTCGTAGCCTTGAGAAGGAAAATTACGACGTCTGGGCTAAGGTGGTAAGGCTCAATGAGGAACTGGAAAAGGAGAAGAAGAAGTTTGCAGCCTTGGAAATCAGCCTTCGCAACGTGGAGCGCTCCCGGGAGGATGTTGAGAAGAGGAACAAGGTCTTGGAAGAAGAAGTCAAGGAATTTGTCAGATTGATGAAGGAGCCCAAGACTGATGCGTGAGGGTCCCAGGAGTACTGCAGAGCCAGCCCCCAGAGACCCAACGCTGCTCCCTTTCTTGCTGCTACCTGATGTGCGGGAAGCAAAATTACTCCCGAAGAGGGAGAAAACATTTTGGGGGAAACATCGCATTTCCTAGTAAATAAGTCGGTGGAGTTTTCAGGAAGATAACAGTGAGCAGAGACGTGTGGACATCTGAGACCCCCTGTGGCTATATTCAAAAGGATTGCATTATTCCACTGTGGTCTCAGGCCCAGTGAAATGGAACCTTCCATGGCTGATTCCCTATATCCAGTGGAGACATTTGAGGCAGGCCACCTCCCAGGACCCAGGCAACAGGCTGCTCCCAACCAAGGCTGGACTGAGTGTTAGTTCTTTGTTTTCTGGGTGGAACAACTCGCTTCATTAGATGGCCTCAAGGCGTCTCTGAGACACAGGGGCGGAAAATGATATGCAGCTTTTGAATGTTCGTCCGTGGCATGCTGTGTTTTGGGGGGGGGCTGCACCTGCTGAAGCCAGAGCCCCATTCTGCCACCCCCACCACAATGCATACTCTCCAGGGGTTGGAAACTCAAAATTATTATTAGACTAAGACAAAACAAGCAATAAATTGTATTTATGACAGCAAAATCAATGAGAAAATTATATTCAAATAAAGTGGAAAAAAAAGGCAGGGCTGTTGGTAATGCATACAATGTGAGAGTTAGTGAGACAGCCTTCCTTGGGGCAGATGCACCCCTCTCTGGGCACATGGCGTGGTGAGCAGGCCATGGGCTGGACTCCAGTCCCCGCTTGCCTTTCAGGGGCCGCAATTGTGTGCGGTGGGCCTGGGAGCAAAGGTTTCCCACTATGATGTGACTTCCTTAGAGGCTGATTGGGGGTTTAGATATAACAGTCATGATAATAATATTTTTTCTGTTTGACCAAAATGCAAGTGATTTCACCCTTTAAAGGGACATGAGGCACTAGAGATGAGCTGGGAGGGGAGTTTTCCCAGCAGACAGCTGACTTCACCTTCTATATTAAGCCAGCCTGGCAGAGGCCACTGGTGAGGCCCCAGGCTTTAATGGAGTCTTTCATGGTTTTTGTCATTGTTCTAGTTAGGTGATCTCCACACTCTTTTGACTGTGTACCCCAACAGTAGAAAATATGGGTATATATGCCCTAATATAAGTATATTTATTTATTTATAAATTATATGTACTACTGTATTAGCCAGCCCTGGTGGTCTAGTGGTTAAGATTTGTTGTGCTCACCGCTGTGGCCCGGCTTCATTTCCAGGTCAGGAAACCACACCACCCGTCTGTCAGTTGTCACACTGTGGCGGCTGCGTGTTTGCTGTGATGCTGAAAGCTATGCCACTGGTATTTCAAATACCAGCAGGGTCACCCATGGTGGACAGGTTTCAGCAGAGTTTCTAGACTAAGACAGACTAGGAAGAAAGACCTGGCCACCCACTTCCAAAAAAGTTGGCCATGAAAACCCTATGAATAGCAGTGGAGCATTGTCTGATACAGCGCCAGAAGGTGAGAGGATGGCTCAAAAAGATTGGGCAGGGTTCTGCTCTGCTGTCCACAGGGTCACTAGGAGTCAGAATAGACTCCACGGCACTAACAACAAAACTACTGTATTGCTATATTATGTATATTATCAAACATGCACAGGACAGAAATTGAATACTGATAAGATAAAAACAAATATAAATAGATGTTCTCAAATGTGCTTTCAGCTCTGGAGGCCACTGGCCCAATTTCCCAGCAGGGATTCATTCCTGCACGCGTTTTACAGATGTCATCCCAATGCTCCCATAAATTTACTTGAACTCTTGAAGCCACATGGCTTAAGCAGTGGTTTGACAGATATGGTTACCATGGTGAGAGTTTAGCCTTCCCCAGCACGTGTGTTTCCTCCGTTATTCCTTTTTCTTCCTTCATTCTCTCACTTTTTCTCCTCTCTCTATTTTCTTCCCTGGTTATTTTTCCCCTGCCTGTGGCCATGACGTATTACTTGCAGAGTGAAAGGTACAGAGGGAGGGTCAGTGTTTCTCAGTCCTACTCCTCAGGCCCTACTCCCTTGACCCTGGCACCTAAGGACCAGACTGATGGAAGGTAGGGACAATACCTAGAGCATTCTCTCAGAGGCCTGCTTGCAGATGATTAGGGAGTGAGGGGAAGTGATTTGGAACATGGTTAAGTAGAGCAATAAAATGCTTGATTTCCTGGGGTTTACTTGTTTTTTTAATTGGAGGGTAACAGACATGGAAACACTTATTGAACACCTAATTTACATTGATAAGTGTCTGCAGCTCCACCAGGAGCATGTCCCGGGGTTCTCCTGTAGCTTCCTCACACTCGCTATTTAGGTGCTAATGTGGACTTGAGTATGGAAGTAGCCAGCTTCACAATTCCAGAGGGAGCATTTGTTTGAAGGTGCAAAGAGGGTGCCCCAAAGTCTGTTTGGAGGTCTGTGTTATAGGACTTTGCTGGGTGTGGGAGTGAGGGCTCAGGCTGAATGGAAGGCCCACGTTTGAAACCCAAGCCCTCCTGGTCAGGCGATGCCTCTCGTTCTTCCTTCCACCAGTACTATGAGGTGACAGAATGGCCATCCCAGCTTCAAAGCTGGAGTGCCAATTCCCCTCCACAATCAAGAGGGGAACATGGCTTGCTTAAGTTGCCACTATTCACTCCTGTGCCACCCTACATATAAGGAGAACACGACAGTGAGTTTTTCCAGAACCCTAGGTCCTCATGAATCCAAAAAAGGGCGAGGGAAGAAGATCTGGGGTCTGATGCCACTGTCCTCCATGTCCCAAAAGGCTACACATGAGGTGTGTGACAGAGTAGCTCCAGACCTCAACTGGACCTAGGAGCCAGTTTCTGGAAGGCAGAACCCAGAGAACAACCTATGTCATCGGTGCTCGGTTGGACCCTGGAGCTCCCACCTTTACTTTTAAAGCCCTTCCATGGGCAGAATCTGCTAAATCTGCCTTTTTCCAGCCATCCTTCACCTTACCCCTCTTCTACCTACACAGATACTGAGAACCTAAAAAGTTCTGCAATATGCACTTTAAAACTCCTTGCCCTCTTCCATACCAAAATTCTTCATTTCACTTATAGCCTCAAGCGTGGCACATAACAGGGCAATTTTCTCTTGAGTTTGAAGCAGATCTGATGGTTTTCCAGTAAGTTTGTGCACTGGATGGGATACTTTGTATTAGGGGATTGCCTGGGATGATTCCCATCTTCGTCCCTTCTTGCTGCTCTGACAAAATACCACGGACTGGGTGGTATTTATTTTTCACAGTTCTGGAGGCTGGAAGTCTGAGATCAGGGCTGGGTGAGGGCCCTCTTCCAGGCTGAAGGCTTCTCATTGTATCTTCACATGGCAGAAGGGGCTAGGGATCTCTGTGGGGTCTCTTATAAGTCATTAATCCCATTCATGAGGGCTCCACCCTTATGATTATGCACCTCCCAAAGGCCCCACCTCCTAATACCATCATCTTTGGGAATTAGGATTTCTACATATGAATTTGGGGAGGGAGCACAAAGACTCAGACGATGGCAATTTCCTTCCAGTGGATTTTGGTCAGAATCTGAGGCCTGGAGAGATGGAGTGTGACATCACGGGTACAGTGCCTGCTGCAGAGGATGTAAGCAATAAACGTTTTTGTTGTTGTTGTTCTGGCCAATTCTTTAAACCTTGCTCAGAGGCCCATCCTCTCAGAAAAGCGTGAAGCAGGAGACTCTGAGGCAGCCCAAAGCTGCAGAGAATGGGAGGACAAGGAGCATCACAGCACACAGCCGTTGGCTGCGCTCCCCAGCTCAAGACAGGAGGATGTGCGTGCACTGACATCGTGTAAACTTCCACATTCCACCACTTCCTCTGCAGATACCATCAGTGGTCATCATGTGCTTGCCGGGGAGCAGAAAGATCACTTAGAGGCCGCTCCTGCCGTTCAAATGGGCTGCCTTACAGGAATTGCACGGCAGCTTTCATCCTGCCGGAGAAGGCTGGGTGGAGGGAGGCCCCGAGGACGGAGATCAGCTGCCGCTCGAGGAGCCCAGGCTGGCAGCAGAGAGAGCTGGAGCTACAGGGCCTATGGCTCCGAAGGCTTCCCAGGGTGATTTCAGACAAAGAATGAGCAAAGAATACCAACACAGAGGAGCAATGTCAGCTTCTCTTTCCTCTGATGCTTGAAAAGTATCTTAGGTCCTAGGATAACAGCACTGAAAGACACCCTGAGCTTATCTGCTCTTACCTGTTCATTCACTGGCTAGAGAAGCGGAAGCCCAGAGACATAAGCTGAACCGCCCGTGCTCGCACGGCGATGAGGAAGAGGATTCAAGTCAGGTGATTTTTAAGGGATCCTTTACCCCACTGTTCCAATTCTTGTGATTCTTGGCTTCTATCCAAGAGTTCTTTCCCCCAGACCACAACCATGATGTGAAACCCACTGAACATTAGTTGCTGAGTGCTTCCAGAATGTCGAGCTGGGCTCAGCTTTTGGTTGCAACCAAGATCCACTCAATAGGATGCCGTTTTCCACCTACTTTGTCTTACCGATGCTGTTCCAAGACAGTGGTTCTTAGTCTGCACAATAGGATCACCTTAAGGAGTATTTTAAAAAGTTTGGATGCTCAGATCCCCCCCATATCAATTGAATCAGAATCTTGGGAGATGGAGCCTAAGAATTTTTTTCTCAAAAAAACTTCCCAGTTAATTCTAATATGCAGGCAGGATTGTTAAACATGGTTCTAAAACTGCTAAGCTTGGCTCAAGTCATGAGTAACGATAATATTAAATCTACCTGTACCCCTCTCCCATCTCCAGTCAACACGACTACATTCTCTGTCCTCCCTACGTTCTAGTTAATCATATGTTCACTCATTTAGGATAAGAGATGCCTAAAAGATAGAATGGATTTGTGTTATATACCCATTTTTCAGGTGGAGAAAACTGAGCCAAAATGTATAACTCAATATAACAGTAGCTTAGTCATGAACAAATCCACAGAGTTTGAGACTTCCCTAATATATGGGGTACTCTCAACTTGCTTTGAGGGTTGACTCTATACATAGGTAAAGAAGGTAAGCGCTTGAGGGCTTGATTTAAAGAATCCTGAGAACAGCTCTGATTAAAACTATCTCCCTTTCAGACCCATAATAGATTAAGAAATCTCTACCAGGAGCCTTTGGGATATTAACCACGAATATGATATTATTGAGAGACTACCATGAAGCCTCCATTAATCATTAATACCCTCTTTATATTAGTTATCTGATTTCTAGCAGAGGGGTGCCTAGTGAAAGAATGAGAGCTGGGCCCGAGAAGTTGTGCTGCCGGTGGAGGGGTAGATTAGAGTAGGGGATGTCACCAAGGAATGCGCGATGCAGAGGCGCTGGCCACCTGAGAGCACAGGGCACACAATCGGAGATGGGGTGAGGGGGCAGGGCTGTAAAAGAGGAAAGGGGGATTCAGGTAGCAGGATTGCCCTCAAGCAAACCTGGCAGCTGGTCAAAGTTGGCACTTTGACCTCCTTTACTATTCTCTCTTCTCCCCTTTACTGATGGCTGTCCTCCTAGGCCTGCCAAGGGCCACCACTTCCTGGATCATTCTGGATCCTTGATTGGCATCATCATCAGCATCATAACAATAACT